TTGTACTTCCTCTTGTACTTCCTCTTGTACTGCTTTTGTACTTACTCTTGTACTTCCTCTTTGTACTCTTGTGTAGCGGGTCTAACCGTGCAGCAGTCAACACTGTGTACAGTCTAACACTGTGTGCAGGTCTAACACTGTGTGGCAGTTCAGACACTGTGTAGCCGTCTAACACTGTTGTAGCAGTTAACCTGTGTACAGTCTACCTGTGTAGCAGTTCCTAACACTGTGTGCAGTTCAGACACTTTTGTTACAGTCTACACTGTGTACAGGCCCTAACACTTGTAGCAGGTCTTACACTGTGTAGCAGGTCTAACATTTGTGTGCAGTTCGACCTTGGTAGCAGGTCCTAAAAATGTTAGCAGGTTAAACACTGTGTAGCAGGTCTAACGCGTGTAGCAGTCTAACGCTGTGTAGCAGGTCTAACACTGTGCAGCAGGTCTAACACCGTGTAGCAGGTCTACCTGGGGTAGCAGGTCTAACACGGTGGGCAGTTCAGACACTGTGTAGCAGGTCTAACGCTGTGTAGGCAGGTCTAGCACTGTGTAGCGGGTCTAACACGTGTAGCAGGTCTAACGCTGTGTAGCAGGTCTAACACTGTGCAGCAGGTCTAACACTGTGTAGCAGGTCTAACTCTGTGTGCAGTTCAGACACTGTAGCGGGTGTAAAAATGTGTAGAGGTGTAACACTTGTAGCAGGTGTAACACTGTGTAGCAGGTGTAACACTGTGTAGCAGTCTAACACTGTGCACAGGTCTAACGTTTGTGTAGCATTCAGACACTGTGTATCAGTCTAACTTTGGTAGCAGGTCAAAACCTGTGTACCGGGTTAAATGTGAGCAGTTCAGACACTGTGCAGCACCCCTTTGACACGTGAAGCGGGTCTAAACTGTATAGCAGTTCAGATACTGTGAAAGCAGGTCTAACACTGTGTAGCAGTCTAACACTGTTACAGGTCTAACACTGTGTAGCAGGTCTAACACGTGTAGCAGGTCTAACACGTGAACCAGGTTAACAATGTGTAGCAGCCCTGACACTGTGTAGCAGGTCTAAGACGTATAACAGTTCAGACACTGTACCTACACACAACCCACTCCACTTATTAAAAACTTCGTAGGAAAAAAAAAAAGCTGTATAATTGTCTGCTGTTACTGTACACAGACGTTTACTCGACTTATTCCCAGCACTTGAAGTCATCAGGTTTAAATGACCTTCCCAGAACTTCTTGCAGAAGTATAACAAGGGACGGTCAACGTAACTTTCCAGCACAAAGGAGCGCTTAACACTACGAGAAACCTAGATAGGAAAGAAAACTGAACTGGCGTTATACCATGTGCAGATGTGACAAACATCGTAGAGGAACTGCAAGTACTTAATGATAATATTAAAAATGGTAAAATCTGTATTTTCTGCAGGCAAATGTACAACGTTGCAGTACAACGAAGCATGAATTAAACACCAGCAAGCATGTAGAGAGACTACCAAAAAACTCTCAAAACACACACAGCCATCTCATGAACTTCAAACCGTTCGACAAAAGGGTCATGAAGACAGTAGCAGCACCAGGAGTCCTGTTCAAACCCTGTTCTTATAACCCACTACCAATGTTACCACACAAATTCTGGCAGTGTTTTTTTATTTATGTTCCCCTGACCTCCCCTGCCCACCCAACTGACAGGGTTCACTAAATGACCCAGACCCACTATATACAACTTGACCTAACTTGTATTTACCGTACATACTCTTATAATGATATAATATAATATAAATATAATATATATAATAAAATATATATATTATATATATATAATATATTATAATATATAAAATATATATGTTATTATATATGTCGTGCCGAATAGGCAAACTTGCCGATCTTGCTTAAATAGCAACGTTCACTTGCCATAAAAGACAAGCGAAAATTTGTCCTTCAAAAATTTCGCCAAAATCATTCTGAACCTAACGAAAAAAAAATATATATTTCACTGTGTTTGTTATATTAAAGTATTAAAGTTTTAGTTTAGCGTTGATGTTGTAATGAAGACATCAAAGAAGCTTGGAATTTAAACAGATTACTGGAAGACCCAAGTAATATCTTTCATGGGAACGACTCTCGATTGTCTCCAGTATTTCGTCATTCGTATTCGATGAAGAAGCCCGCTGTGCGAGCGAAACGTTTCAGGATAAGAAACCAAGTATTGCTCATGTGTCTTCTTCTCAAGTTTGCGGCACTTTGTAATATTAGTGAGAAGGTGACAAACAAGAAGAGTTAGACTTCAAAAATTAATAAATGAATTTTCATACAACCACTAGCTGGTTAATTTGGGCACCCAACACACTAGCTATGAAGTTATCTCCCACACTAGCTGGTAAGTTGGCACCCCACACACTAGCTGATGAAGTTATCTCCCACACTAGCTGGTATAGTTGGCACCCCACACACTAGCTGATGAAGTTATCTCCCACACTAGCTGGTAAAGTTGGCACCCCACACACTAGCTGATGAAGTTATCTCCCACACTAGTTTGGTAAAGTTGGCACCCCACACACTAGCTGATGAAGTTACCCCACACTAGCTGGTAAAGTTGCACCCCACACACTAGCGATAAAGTTATCTCCCACACTAGCTGGTAAAGTTGCACCCCACACACTAGCTGATGAAGTTATCTCCCACACTAGCTGGTAAAGTTGGCACCCCACACACTAGCTGAAAAAGTTATCTCCCACACTAGCTGGTTAAGTTGGCACCCCACACACTAGCTGATGAATTTAAATCTCCCACACTAGCTGGTAAAGTTGGCACCCCACACACTAGCTGATGAAGTTATCTCCCACACTAGCTGGTTAAGTTGGCACCCCAACACACAAGCTGATGAAGTTATCTCCCACACTAGTGGTAAACTTGGCACCCCACACACTAGCTGAGAAGTTATCCCCCACACTAGCTGGTAAACTTGGCACCCACACACTAGCTGATGAAGTTACTCCCACACTAGCTGAGAAAGTTGGTATCCCACACACTAGCTGATGAAGTTATCCCCCCACACTAGCTGGAAATTTGGGGTATCCCACACACTAGCTGATGAAGTTATCTCCCACACTAGCTGAGAAAGTTGGTATCCACAAATTAGTGATGAAGTTGGTATCTTCAACCTTGCTGGTAAAGTTAGTATCCCCCACACTACTGGTAAAGTTGGTATCCACCACACTAGCTGAGTAATTTGGTATCCCCCACACTACTGATGAAGCCAGTATCCCCCACACTAGCTAAGAAATCTTAGAAATCCCCCACCATAGCTGGTGAAGTTAGTTTTCTCAACACTAGCGGGTGAAGTTGGTATCCCCCACACTACTGATGAAGTTAGAAATCCCCTTCAATAGCTAAGAAAATTTAGTATCCCTACCACTAGCTGGTGCATTTGGTATCCCAATACATTAACTGAGAAAGTCAGAATCCCACACAATAGCTGGTGAAGTTGGATCCCCCCTTACACTAGCTGATGAATTAGTATCCCCAACATTAGCTGGTGAAGTTGGTATCCTGCACACTGCTGATAAAGTTGTATCCTCCACCTAACCTAGAAAGTTGGCATCCTTCATACTAGGTGAAAAAGTTGGCATCTCTCACACTAGCGAGGAAGTTGCTTACCTCGCACACTAGCTGAGGAAGTTGGTATCCTCCATACAAACTGAGGAAGTTAGTATCCTTCACGCTAACTGAGGAAGTTATTTACCCTCACACTAGCCGAGGAAGTTATACCTCCACTCTAACTGAGAAAGTTAGTATCCCTCACCACTAGCTGAAGAAGTTAATGTATCCAATTAATTGTCTAAATTTGTACTTTAAATTGCTTGAGTTTTCATGCTTTCAGACACTGCTATTCACACCAGACAGTTCAAGACATGTTTTACCTGGACATGAATGCATGTGGGTATCAGTGTCTGGATAGACAATGAATGTATGGATAGTGTGTGGGGGGGGTATGGATAGTGTGTGTGCGTGTGTGTGTTAACTATCTATGTACGTTTATAGGGTGCGTGTTTGTATAGATAGTCAGTGTAGTGGGGGATAGTTTGCATATGTGTGTCGGGATAGCCCTTTTTCCCTTTTACTAACATCACTTAGTGACTATCATGAGAAAGTCTACGGATTTTTGGCAGAGAGTTTGACTACTGGAGTCCCGTGTGACGCAACTCGCCTCTACTAGAAGTCAACACGTCAATGCAGGCCTTTTACGCACCTACCTTGACAGGGGAGTACGGAGGGGGGTAGCGTGGTAGCCACGGAGGCGCGTGGAGGTGCTATCACGAGGCGGGTGTAGGCATACGCGTGGAGGTGGTGGCAGTGCTCTCGCGAGGAGGGCGTGAAGACGGCTGGGTCACGGCGCCTCCAGGCTCGGTTCTTTTATAGCAAGGCCGCCCCGCGCGCACACCCCCCCACACACATGTTTCACAAGTCTTAGTGCCTTCCCATAATGCTTCGCCTGCACACGTTATTAACACAGGCCTCCATCACTTACCTTGTCCACCAGCTCGTCAAATAAAATAATCTGCAAACGCTTCATAACGAGTCTTTAAAAAACTTTTCTCTTATTTTTTTATGGGAGTTTGATGGAAGTGTCCTCAGCCGTAATGGAGAGGGAAAAAAGATTTTTAAAAGTTTAAAAAACTCAATTTATGAAGAGTAAATTAATGAATGTTTATAATGCTAAAGAGCGTTGAGAAATTACGGAGCGGATGTTTACGTTCACGATACTGAAGAACGATGAACTAGGAGGGTGGCCCGGGGTTTCCCGAACACTAGTTAGTGAACAATGCCGCCCAAAAAAAAGGTCGGCCGTGGAAAACCCTCTCTCTGATTGGCTAATGGATGATGACGTTAACACGATAGCAACTATGGCAGCCCTCTGGGTCACTTACACCCTGCTACTGTAATCACTCCATCATTATGGTTTTTCCCCTCCAGATATTAGGGCATTAGTGAGTGAAAGTGAAGTATAGATGAATGAAGATGATGATGATGATGATGATGACACCCTGATGTCAGCATCCTGGGATGCGTCAGCAGCTGAGGCAGTTTTGGGGAAGGGTAGAGTTGACCGAGTTTTTGACGACAACAACATACTGTCGGCAGAACAGAGTGTAAACACAGCTGTCTGCTCCATTCTTAACACAGCCACCACCCCCGTACGTGGGTTACATCCACCACCATGACTTACATCCACCACCATACTTACATCCACCACCATGACTTTCACCACCACCAGACTTACATCCACCACCATACTTACATCCACCACCATGACTTACATCCACCACCATGACTTACATCCACCACCATGACTTACATCCACCACCATGACATACACCACCACCATGACTTACACCCCCCATGACTTACATCCACCACCATGACTTACATCCACCACCATGACTTACATCCCCCACCTGACTTACATCCACCACCATGACTTACATCCACCACCATGACTTACATCCCCCCACCATGACTTTCATCCACCACCATGACTTACATCCACCACCATGACTTACATCCACCACCATGACTTACATCCACCACCATGACTTACATCCACCCTGTGACTTACATCCGCCACTGTGACTTACATCCACCACCATGACTTACATCCACCACTGTGACTTACATCCACCCCCCATGACTTACATCCACCACTGTGACTTACATCCACCATCAAGACTTACATCCACCACTGTGATTTACATCCACCACCATGACTTAAAATCCCCCACTGTGACTTACATCCACCACCATGATTACATCCACCATTGTGACTTACATCCACCATTGTGGGCTTACATCCACCATCAAGACTTACATCCACCACTGTGACTTACATTCACCACGTGACTTTCATCCACCACAATGACTTTCATCCACCACCGTGACTTACATCCACCACTGTGACTTACCTCCACCACCATGACATACATCCACCACTTGTGACTTACATCCACCATCAAGACTTACATTTCCCCCACTGTGATTTACATCCACCACCATGACTTACATCCACCACTGTGACTTTCATCCACCACCATGACTTACATCCACCATTGTGACTTACATCCACCTCAAGACTTACATCCACCACTGTGACTTACATTCACCACTGTGACTTACATCCCCCACATGACATACATCCACCACCGTGACTTACATCCCCCACTGTGACTTACATCCCCACCATGACATACATCCACCACTGTGACTTACATCCACCACAAGACTTACATCCACCCCTGTGACTTACATCCACCACCAGACTACATCCACCACTGTGACTTACATCCACCACCATGACTTTTCATCCATCACTGTGACTTACATCCACCATCAAGACTTACATCCATCACTGTGACTTACATTCACTACTGTGGGCTTACATCCACCACAAGACTTACATCCACCACCGTGACTTACATCCACCACTGTGACTTACATCCACCACCAGGACATACATCCACCACTGTGACTTACATCCACCACTGTGACTTACATCCACCACTGTGACTTACATCCACCACTGTGACTTTTCCACCACTGTGACTTACATCCACCACTAAAGACATACATCCACCACCATGAGATACATCCACCACCATGACTTACATCCACCACCATGATTTACATCCACCACCATGACTTACATCCACCACCACACATACATCCACCACCATAAGTTACATCCCCCCACGATAACTTACATTTCCCCCACCATGACATATATCGACCACCATGACTTACATCCCACCACCATGACTTACATCCACCACCATGACTTAACATCCACAACCATGACTTATATCGACCACCGTGACTTACATCCACAAACCCTGACATACACCACACCCATGACTTAGATCCACAACGATGACTTACATCCCCCACCATGACTTACATCCACAACATTGACTTACATCCACAACAATGACTTACATCCACAACATTGACTTACATCCACAACCATGATTTACATCCACCACCCCTGACTTACATCCACATCCATGACCTACATCCACCACCATGTCCTCATCCATCACCATGACTTACATCCATCACCATGACTTACAAACCATCCCATGACTTACATCCACCACCATGACTTACATCCATCACCATGACTACATCCACCACCATGACTTACATCCGCAACCATGACTTACATCCACTACCATGACTTACATCCACCACCATGACTTACTTTCCCCCACCATGACTTACATCCACCACCAGACTTACATCCACCACCATGGGCTAACATTTACCACCATAACTTACATCCACCACCATGACTTACATCCCCACCATGACTTACATCCATCAGAATGATTTTCATTCACAACATGACTTACATCTACCACCACAGGCACCACCACCACCACAGTCACCACTACTACAGTCACCAAGACCACCACAGTCATCACCACCACAGTCACCACCACTACCCTAGTCACCACCAAAACCACCCACAGTCACACCCACCACAACAGTCACCGCCACCAAACTACAAACCCTCAACAAACCTCCACAACAGTCACCCCACAACAACAATCCCCCACCACCACGTCAAGAAAACAACAGTCACCACCACAACAGTCACCAGTACAAGTCCCCCACCACAACAGTCACACAACAACAACAATCACCACCAAAGTCACCACAACAACAATCACCACCACCATACAACAGGGACCAAAGAGCTGTCAGAACCACAAAAGTCAGCACCAAAACAGTCACCACCACAAAAAGTCACCACCACAACAATCACCAAAACAGTCATCAAACCCCAGCCGTCACCACCACAATAGTCACCACAATACCAGTCACTACTACAACAGCACCACCACAACACTCACCACAACAGTCAAAACCCCAACAACGGTCAAAAACCCTAACAGTCAGTACCACAAAAGTCCCCCACCACAACAGTCACCAAACCCCAACAGTCACCACCACAACAGTCACTCAAAACAACCGTCATCACCACAAGAGTCACCACAACGTCACCGCCACAACAGACACTATTCAAGAACAGTCACCACCACAACAGTTTACCACCAACGCAGTCACCACCACAACAGTCACCACCACAACAGTCATCAAAAAAACCGTCATCACCACAAGAGTCCCCCACAACAGTCACCGCCACAACAGACACTACTTCAAGAACAGTCACCACCACAACAGTCACCACCTCAACAACAGTCCCCCCACCATAACATTCTCCATCACAACAGTCATCACCACAACAGCCAAAACTACAACAATCACAACCCTAACAGCCACCACCACAGCAACAGTCACTACCACATCAAACACCACAACAAGTCACCGCTACAGTAGTCACCACCCCCAACAGAACCACAACAAAAGTCACCACTACAACCCGTCACCCCCCACAAACAACCCCCAAAACAAAAGTCACCACCACAACAGTCACCACCACAACAGTCACCACCACAAGAGTCACCACCACAACAACAGTCCCCCACCACTACAACAACAGTCACCACCACAACCCAAAAGACCACCACAACGTCACTACTACAAAAGTCACTACCACAACAGTCATCACCACAAAAATCAACCCATAACAGTCACCACAACAACAGTCACCAAAACCCAGTCATTACCCCAACAGTCACCACAACTACAGTCACCAACACTACAGTCACCATCACAACAGTCACCACCACAGCAGTCATCACCACAATATCACCACCAAAAATAGTCACCATCACAACAGTCACCACCGCAAAAGTCACCACCACAATAGTCACCCTAACAACAGTTTACCATCATAACAGTCATACCACAACAGTCACCACCACAACAGTCACAGCAACAATAGTCACCACCCCAAAATCACCACAACAACAACTGTCCCCAACAAACAGTCACCACAAAAAACTGGCACAAACATAACAGTCAGCACCAAAAAAGTCACCACCAAAACAGTCACCACCACAGCAGTTACCACCACAACAATCACCACAACAGTCACCAGTACAACAGTCACTACCACAACAGTCACCACTATGACAGTTACCACAAGAACAGTCACCACTGCAACAGCCACCACCACAACAGGTACCATTACAGCAGTCACCATCAGAACAGTCACTATCACAACACTCACCAATACAACAGTCACCACCACAACAGCAGTCACCATCATAACAGTCACCACCACAACTGTCAAAATGACAACAACAGTCACCACCAAACAGTCACCACAACAACAATGACCACCACAACAACAGGCACTAACACAACAGTCAGTACCACAAAAGTCAGCATCAAAAACAGTCACCACCACAACAGTCACCATCACAACAATCACCGCAACAGTCACCACCACAGAAATAACCACCACAACAGTCACCACTACAACAGTCACCACCACAACAGTCACAACCACAACAACAGTCACCACCACAATTGTCACCACAACAACAGTTACCACTATGACAGTCACCACCCCAACAGTTACCACCACAACAACAGTCACCACCCTAACAGTCAATACCACAACAGTCATCACGACAACAGTCACCGCCGTGGCAGTCACCACCACAAAAATCACCACAATAGTCACCTCCACAACAGTCACAACCACAACAGTTGCCACCACTTCAGTCACCACCCCACCAGTCACCACCACACCAGTCACCACCACAACAACAGTCACCACCACAATAGTCACAACAACAACAGTCACCAGTAAAACAGTCACCATCACAACAGTTACCACTACAACATTCACCACCACAAATCACCACCACAGCAGTCAACACCACAACAACAGTCATCACCATAAGAGTCACCTCCATAGTAGTCACCACCATAACAGTCACCGCCACAAGAATCACCACCTCAACAACAGTCACCACCTCAACAAAAATCACCACCATAACAGTCACCAACACAACAGTCACCATCACAACAGTCCACCGCCACAAGAGTCATCACCACAGCAGTCACCACCACTACAGTCACCACCACAACAGTCACCACTACAACAGTCACCACCACAACATCAGACACTACCACATCAGTCACCCCAACAACAGTCACCACCAGTAGATTCACCACCCCAACAGTCAACACAACAACAGTCACAACCACAACAACAGCAACCACC